ACAAATGAGTTTCTGGCTACGCTAATGGTGACATATGACAGACTTCTCTGAGCTCCGCAGCATTACACTTTTCACCTCGCACACCCCCTAGCGGCAGCTCTCGCACCCCCAGGGGTGCGCGCACCACACTTTGGGAATCCCTGTTCTAAATTATCCTGTAACAACAAAACCCATTTACATTGTAAAAGCGCTCTTCTAATCTTTCTAGATACATTTAAACGTTCTTTTGGGATTATAGGGATTATTATTTCAACGTCTCAAACTATCTGAGACATGGGAATAAAAGCTGAATCAGTTTTGTGTTTTATTTAAAACAAAATAAATGAAATTATCAGGAATTTAGTTGATTTAAGAATGAATTTGAGAAATTTTTTGTGTTTGTGAGGTTCTAGACCAGACGTGTTTAAAGTGTGGCCCGCTGAAAGATTTTGTGTATCCCCAATTTACGTTTTAGAGTTTTTTTAAGTAAAATTAAAATTTGCTTTGTATTATTTAAACATAAATAACATATTTTGTGGACCTTAACATAATGATTTTGGCCCTCATGTGCACAGCAAATACAAGTTCCTGTTTTATTCATGGGATTTTGCACGGCTGCTTCAGAAAACCACTCAGAAGTGTAAAGATCTGATGGTGATCAAGTTTCCTGATGATCTGCCGCAGCAGTGGCAAAGAGCTTCATGCTGTATGTGTAGCAAGCTGCTATGTCATATACGTCCCATGTTTGATATTGGGATGGAGAGATTTGGCGATCTGAACTGGTGGGTCATGACATAAGTGATGAAACTGCGCTAGCTTCAGCGTGCTTCGGATACGAGTGACAGCTATATCGCAGTTTATCTTTCCTTGTGTGTTTCTCGTCAGTACAAACCATGGTTGTGTTGTTTCCTTCATAGTTTACCTGATCTGTCCTTGTTTTTTTTTTTTGAGGTGCATTGAACGCACCATCAGTATCTTTTAGCGTTTGTTATTATGGAGGTCAGGTGATGCAAAAACGCGGTTAGAAAAACCAACCATCCTCTGACGTATTGACCCAAGTGCTTTCTCTCTCAACTTGTCAAAATAAGATGAACTCCCTGGAAACTACAAACTGCAGACTGTTGGCAAGTTGCACACATGAAGTCCACGACACAGTCTCAGACCTCTGCAGCAGCAGCGCATCCTTCTGGGCATTTTAATTGACCTGCACACCGGCAGCTTTAAGTGTCACATTGGTGCAGAACAAAAAAAAAAAAAAACACCAGACAGAACAGGATTTTGCCCTCAACAGTGTTTTTTTAGAGAAGTCCAATAAACAGCTGAGATAACTCTCCAGGACCATCTCCAGCTTTGACTTTCACTTTTCTCTTAAAGGAACGGAAACATTAGGCTACAAAAGCTCTCCCCCTCAGCGCTTCCATGTTCCCTCCTTGCACACCTTCAGGCAGTCAGAAGGAAATTCTCAGACCATAATTACGTGCCGTGCCCTCCTCTCCCTAAAGAAAATCACACAATAGTCCACAGCAGTGCCTGCACTAATTGTCTCTGTTGACAGTAACTCGGCCTTGCTCTGGATCTGGTGCTGAGTGAAACTGTTGAGAGGCCCGGCATGCTCCCCCACTTCCTGCCTCTCGCCTTACAATGGAGGTCCACAGTCATGTGACCGGCCGGCCTTCACCGATCCGTAAGAAGAAACTATTCAGGAAGTGCGTCGGGGTCTGGAGGGCAGTTGAGCTCCTCCACATGGCATAAAGGAAATGTCTCTGGAGGCTTCTAAATCTGAGGATTTGTCTCTCACTCACACACACACACACACACACACACACACACACACACACACACACACACACACACACACACACACACACACACACACACACACACACACACACACACACACACACACACGCCAGCGCAGTTCCTGAGCAGATATACAAAGTTTATCGGCTCAGGAAAGGAGCAAACTGGATCACATCCTTTGCTGTACAAACAGATGCTCAACCTCCATTCCAAGGTTAAAAGATTTTCCTCTCAGGAACGCCAAAATAGGAATTATCCATCACAATAGACATGGTTTTTCATTTTGATTTGTGTGAAAGACGAAAACGCCCTCGTCCTAGTAAGAGTCACAGTGCAACATGAATGAATGAACTGGCATCGTTTTGATGTGCTTTGTCTCTGCAGAGTTTTTGGCATCTCTCCCATTGTTCAGACCAACTGCTCCTTCACGTGGAAGCTCATCGTGCGCCCGGAGCGTAAGTGGCACCACTTTGTCAATCCCATCATGCTGCTGATTCTCTATTACACCCTGGCCACACTCATCCGCCTCTGGCTGCAGGAGCCCATCGACCAGCTGATGGTGAGCACAGAAGACACAATCAGAGTCCATTCCTGTTTCAGATCACCTTGTTCTCATGGTTAGAGTTGAATCTGCCGATGCGTTGTGAAATTAGAGCATAGCTTTTGGTTATTATTCAATGTTTTGGTTGATATTTATCTCAAAAGATCTTGATTGTGCAGCAGAGATGCAGAAGGTTCAGATGAAGTCCTTTGTCATCTGTGTGACACAGACTGTCACTTCCTGATTACCATCCGTCCAATTCTGCTCTAATGCTCATTCACACCCACTCCCTTGTAAATGCAGGAAACAATTAGACAAAGAACCAGCTTATGATATTATACAGTATTATATTTACTCATTAATGACAGCAGATTATCACCTCATGGACAACATGGTGTTTAAGCTGAATCCGTTTCTGCTGCGATTGACCTAAACCCTCTGAACTCAGATGATTTTTAGCAACACTATTCAGACTTTACCGTTCTTCCAGACTGAATCGCACTTGTATAGTAAATACATTGTAGAAATACTTTGCAGGTTTTATTTAAAATGATCAAAATCTGAGACCCTTCTATTAGGAGGACCTCAACAACCAGACCAAGGATCTTTTCACACCAAGCCACACAGATAAAACAAAAGCTCATATTATTCACGCTGGTCCTTGGGGTCATTTATTTTAAATAAATCATGTAACAGGCTTTGCTTTGCAGCTGAAACGAGTTAATTCAGAATTGACTGGCTTGTTTCATTCATCAGCAATGAAAGTCAAAGAAACTCTCTTTGTCGTGGTCCGTGCATCAGGAAATGTCACAAAAGAAAAAACAAACTTGTGGATTCCTTACAATCACAACATTTTAAACTAAAGATTTAATGAAAAATTCCTCGTGAGTAAAAACGAGAATGTTGGAAGCTGCTGCAAAAATAAACCAAATTTACATATCAGCCACTTTAAAAAGGAAAACTAAAAATGATAAATCAAAATAACAACAACAAACTCCCTGTAGCTCTCAGGGCTGTTTAAAGGTGTGGTTCACTAAAGAAACATTTAAATGATTTTTCTGATTACAATTGGTCCAGGCTGAACATGAAAATAGTCTCCTACACTTTTCTCCTAAATGAGCTTCTGATAGAAAATAGACAGTGAAACTCTAGTATTAGAAAATCTTCACAGATCTACGTCATGCTGTGAATTTGCATGTCTGGCCTCGCCCATCTTGGCTCGCGCCGTCCGCCCACAGGAAGGCTTTTTAAAATATGTTTAGCAGAGGGAGCAGATAGTGTGTTGGTGATGGTGACTTTGCAACATGGCTGATCGCGTTCTGTTAGCCAATCAGAAGCGAGGTGTTAGCATATCATTAAAAATAATGAGCAATCCTGCTGTTTTCAGCCCACCTCTGCACCAGCGAACTTCTGCATCTCAGGAGCATCATAGTTGTTTTTTTAATGACTCACAAAGCATTGATTTACACTAGAAAACACTGCAAATGTATTGAATAAATTAGTAAACAACACTAATGGAGAGGGAGCTGGAACGTGCTAATGGGAGCTGTAGGATGCTAGGGGAAGTTGATTGGAGTTGGAGGATGCTGGTGGAAACTGGAGAGAGCCAATGGGAGCTGGTGGGTGCTGGTGGAAACTGGAGAGAGCCAATGGGAGCTGGTGGGTGCTGGTGGAAGCTGGAGAATTCTGGTGAGAGCTGGAAGATGCTGGAGGCAGCTAATGGGAACTAGAGGGGATTAGTGGGAACTGGAGTATTCTGGTGGGAGCTGGTGGATTCTGGGGTAAGTTGGTGGGAGGAGAGAGCTAATGGGATCTGTAGAATTCTGGGGGAAGTTGGTTGGAGTTGGAGGATGCTGGTGGAAACTGGAGAGAGCTAATGACAGCTGGTGGATTCTGGGGTAAGTTGGTGGGAGCTCGAAGATGCTGGAGGTAGCTAATGGGAACTAGAGTGGATTAGTGGGAACTAGAGGATTCTGGTGGGAGCTGGTATTCTGGGGTAAGTTGGTTGGAGCTGGAAGATGCTGGAGGTAGCTAATGGGAGCTAGGGGGTACTGGTGGGAGCTGGAGGATTCAAGGGGAAGCTGGTTGAAGTTGGAGGATGCTGGTGGGAACTGGAGAGAGCTAATGGGTGCTGGAGGGGCGGAGCCCTTGTAGCCTTTAAAAGAGTTCTGATGAAGTGGAAGATTTTAGCCATTGCACCAACGCCTTTTTTCATGGTCAGCTAATAAGTTCTGAGAGGAGACAATATGATGGACACAGACATGATTCTAAAATCATTTAAAAAGTTAATCTGCTACACATAAACAACGTCTAATAGATGAGATATACTAGAACATGCAACATACAGCTGTTCTGTTTATATTTTAGTGTCATGCTTTCTTCTTGTTTGCCCTGAAAGTTTCCCAAAGCTTCCCAGAACTTTGGAACTGAAACTCAACCACATGTAATTCACAAACTATTATCTTCAATAAGCAAATGAAACAAAGAAAATGTGACATTACAGACTGCCTGGATGACAGTCATGCTGTCTTCACTCATTTATTACTACTCTGATCACTCATGTCTGTTATGGTGAAAATGCACCATTAGCTTCTATCACCTCAAGTCTCCTACCTGGTCACCCTTGGAATATACATGAATTGCAAGTTTTAAATGTACTTCTTCATCCTTCCTTAAACAAAACTTGCAGCTTGAGTGAATCTGTGCATCAGCAGCGTGATCTTTAAACCTGACCCACCTCAGAGCTTCAAGCTCAGCTCCTCCAGCTTGTAATGGAATTATAGATCTGTGTTTTTATAGAGGGGTCAATACTTCCCTTCAAACCTGTAGGGTTTGCATTATTGATCTCTGTACAAAGAATCGTGTGTGTGTGTGTGTGTGTGTGTGTGTGTGTGTGTGTGTGTGTGTGAGACTTTATCCACTCCTACACTTTAGATTAGAGGCTAATAATAAAACATGATTGGTACCTAAATCAGCAGTGGACAGGTTTGTTGGAAAGTGGAGATGCTGAGGTTTGATGGGCCTCGTTTCTGCCAAAGCAACAGGACATGTAGACGTTTTGTCATGTCTCTCATTTGTTCATTAAACCGGTGAAAATAGAAAGAAAACAGATTAATTTGAGTGAGAGAGAAAACAGGCTTCTAGGGTTTTATTAACCACTTCTCCTAAATACACAAGTGTCCCATTATAAAATTACAATACCATAACCCTACCTAACACCGGACAAGGAGCCAGGAATAAAAGCTATTGTTCTTTGATTGTTAGATATTATGGAAATGAGAGGTTTTTAAAAAACACAACAAATGTAGCAAAACTGAGTTTTATTAGGAGTAGAGGTCTATTTCCGATGTGCAGGAGATGTGGTCAGCCGCTGGATCTAGTTTAAAGTTAAAAAACTATTTAGCTTTACTTTAATAGCAGCTTGGGAATTACCACGATCGACCTCTACAGCAAGTAGATTGTGGCACTGAGCGTGTTTTTGTGTTTGGGACCTAAAGTCTGTCAGGATGAGCCTTATCACAATTTCCTTCTTTTTAAAGGTCACCCAGCTCCTCCTCCTCCTCCTCTTCCTCCTCCGTCTCTGTAAAAACAGCATTTACCAGGATCTGATGTCTTCTGATAGATTTGTGGCACAATACTGGACGGAGCCCAGAAATCAGAGTGGAAGATGCACATCAAACACCAAACTGACTATCTGTGTTTTCCCAGGACAAGGAAGACGATGTGAACGAGGAAGAGGAGCATAGCGGAAGCAGAGTGAATAACTCTGCCAACAGGAAGAGGCAGATGTGGTGGGAATCTCGACAGGGCACGGATGAGAAAAATGTACGTCAGGATTCACGTACGCAGCGCTGTACTGATTATCTGATGGTTCATGGAGTTGATGTTATCCTGTGTTTGGGAATGAAAACATGAATGAAGACTAGAGCTGTGGAATCCAGGCGTCCATAAATCTTCTTAGGATTAAAGTGATAGAAAATTAAGTTAATTTCAGATCGGGTAGACTCAAGCTGCAACTGGAAAGACTTCAGATTAACACACTATTGCTCACATACTTCCTCACACACACTTTCCGACCTTGTTCCACATCAAAGTGCGTCTCCTTAGCAGCCACCTCCAGAGATCTGGAAGCTTTTAGTGATCATAAGCACAGATCAGCGCTGCTCCTTTTCCTGCTTATCAGTGACTAAAGAACAAGGAGGCCTTTTGGCTCCAGCAGCTCATCGATAACGCACCTCAACCTGTTTACTCTTTTCTCCTCCCAGCTCCTCTCCACCCAGGATGGCATCAGTACTACTGAGGTGCGGCTGATCTGGATGTGTTCTTTAACCCCTTTTCTCCTCATTTTACTTATTTTGTCTTTCTGCAAGAAGCTAAAAAACTACAGGCTGCTTTTTCAAACTGCATCCTCACATATTTGGATATAATAGTTTAGAATAGTTGCTGCAACACAAGAAATACAACCAAACTCTTAAATAGCTTGTTATATTCCTGTACATTCCTTTTAGAAGCATTCAGACTTTATTACACGTATAAACGAATCCAGAATATCAACAGCTGTTGTTCTAAAACAGTAAAATCACCTGCAGTGTGAAAAGTAGTGAAGAACCCTTCCACTGTCCTGCAAAGTCAAAGCGTAGAAACTTGTCTGCAGTAGAAATTTGCAAAAAAATAATTGACTTGCATTTTCTTCAAATAAAGAAAACAAAATTCTTAGTTTACTATTTTTTGCCTTTGCAGGGCAGACCCTTTATGAGTGGCCTGATCTCATGACCAATGCGTCCTCTAGTTCAAGATGTTAATTTATCTCATGATGATCTGCAGGCCATCCCAACCTCCAATGGGACGTCCTTTGACTTCGTCGCTACCGAAAACGGACAGGTGTGTCTGGACCTGTACTCGACCCCCCAGTATAAACCGGACAAACCCACTGACGGTACAGGTGAGTGTAAAAGTAGAAAAAAAGCGCGAAAACCTCTGGTTCTGGTCTGGTAGCTTTCATGATGGACCTTAGATTGGTCCTGTTCTGAGCTGTAAACTGGTCGGTGCTCTGCTGCGCTCATATCAGCCCCTAAATGTCACTGAAACTAGAAATGCTTGTAATTAATTTTTTTAGGGTGAAGAGAAAAACCTGGCATCATGTTCATTAAGGGTCAACAGTCGCATACATTTCTTGGATTCTACTTGGAGATTAAATGAAAGTGAATGAATCTATTAAAGCTGATTTAAAAAGGTTTAAAAAAGAGCATTTTCATTTTAACCCTCCCACTATCTTCATGGGTGACCCCGCAAAGAAAGTTGACCATTGAGCAGGATTGATGGTTTATCCCTTGAGGTCCACGTGGCAGGGGTGAGGTGGTGCTCACTCCTGGGACGTTACGATGAACAATGATTGGTCTCGGTATGCAGGGTGAAACCCACGATAGTGCAGCATCTTTAAAACCACTGTCTTCAGCTTGAAGCTCTTTCAGTGAGATGCCGAGATGTTTCCTACATGGTTGTGGTGACCTCCTCTAAAATCTCTTGTCTTATTTTTGATTTAACTGTTACCGATGAGCTGTTATTGTTTCTTTTTTCTTTAATCCTAACAGAGAAGAAAGAAGAGTGTGTGTATGAAGTGAGCTTGCCCCCAGAGGATTCAGGACAAAAAGAGTCCGAAGATGAAGAAAACGACATTAAGAAAAAAGGCGTTGGTGCAATGGTTAAAATCTTCCACTTCATCATGAAGCAGAGCTACATCTGCGCTCTCATTGCCATGATGGTGAGCTCTCAGTTGGTTTACATTTAAGCGCCAACTTATCCTCAGTTTTCCTCAAAATAATGGGAAGAAGTTTTTTTTATCACAAAATGTAAAATCCGATTTATTAAAGGATTTTACATTATTCTCCTATTATTTTAGGAGAAAAACTAATAAACACTAGCCTGGCATGCCGTCCTACAAATGGCCACGGTTCACTGACAGCTCCCAGTTGTGGGGCGGGATCTACGGTTGCCTCCACGTGCTAATGGATAGCTATGTGACGTACTCACCACTACTGATGTCAGTCAACAAGGCAGTCCACTGAACTCCATCAAAGAAGATGCAAAGACATCCTTTTTCTAAGTAATTTCTCTATCTGCTCGACTCAAAAAAAAGCTCAAGTCTAAATAGTCCAAGGTTGATGCCAAAGCCTTTTCAAACAAGCCGTCGCCATCTTTGTTTTTTCAGTAAAATCCCACCCACCAACAGAGTGCTGTGATTGGCCCGCCAAACCAATAAAGTTCTGTGATTTTACCGTCAGTGGGGTAGTCTGCCATTACATCACGGAAGAAGCACACTGTGATTGGCCAGCCACAATACTGGACGGGGCTGCCGAGGTCCCAGTGGAGCGTTGCTAGCCTGACATTCAAAGCTAAATCATTTTGATTCAACAAAAGACGGTCTAGATCTAGGTTAAGTAAACACGTGATCTTCAGACAATGACCGTTTCTCAATACTCAAGGACACTAGTACGTTCCTGTGTACTAGACAAGTACGTTCTTGGCAAGAACACCAGAACGTCTGTTCTACCGAGTACGAGAGGACCAGGATGATTTGGAACAGAACCGTTGTGTCCTGGCAACAAGCGCTGCTTCTTGCTACAGTAAAAAAATGACCTGACATAAAAATAAAAGTCTAGTTTCTTCCCTAAATAACAAAAACGTGTTATTTGTATTATATTTAGCCCACTTTTGATCAAAACTAATTAGATACTAGCATTTCCCACTCTTTAATGAATAAAAAAAGTTTTTTTTTTCCCATCAGAACAGAGCTACGGTGCTTTTATTTTGATAGCGGGTTAGCTAATTAGCGTTTTGAAGGATCGTGAAGAGTGAAACCCAAACATGCAGCAAAATTTACAGTTGTGTGTACACAATTATTTACAATAACAGACAACTTTGTATTATTTAATTTATATTTATAATATAGAACATTACAGTTATTAGATTTCTCCTCTGGCCTTCGGTGTTTAACGGTTTGCGATGCGATGCATTATGGGAAACTTTGCTATTCCAAATCCGCAGAAAAATGCATTCATGCATTCTTGATACAATGGGCGGGGCCAGAACACATCGGGGAACTTTGAACGAACTTGTCATTATGCATACTTTGGACTGGAACAGTCCTTGGGCCATCGTTGATGACGTTTCATAAGGACGTGAGTACACAAGTTTGGACAAGTGTGCATATTGAGAAACAGCCGATGTAAAGGGGATGTGTTGGAGAAGGCTCTAAACTACTACAACACCAAATATTGGCCAAATACACCGAGTTGGGGTCAATTTTGTGTTCGCTCAGGTAGATGAGCTGTGGTGACCATCTTTAGCTGAGTTAACTCCAAAAGTTGTTCATCTCAAATCGTGCATCTGGCGAAGAAGTCCTGAGAGTTTTGTTAAAATTCGTCTAGAGAGAATTGCTGCAGGCGATACCCAGTCTATTAAACATAGGTTACAGAAACTAAAGCGTGGATGGGATGAAAAACTGCAGCGATGTTTGCTGCTGCTAATTGAAGTGTCTCACTAGGGTTACGGATAACTTTAACCAGTCAGCAGGTCAACAGCTTTCAGAATTTAACACCAAACAGGGCCTTTGCAGTTCCAGAGTTTGCATTTGTTCAATGATTAATCAACGATTTGTCGCCTGCAGACATGGAGCATCACCTACGTCAGCTGGCAGACGTTCGTCTTCCTCATGTGGTCCTGCATTCTGTGGATGGTGCGGGATCGGCGGCGTTACGCCATGCTGTCGTCTCCCTTCATGGTTGCCTATGGCAACCTGGTCATAGTGCTCCAGTACATCGGGAGCTTTGAGACAATGAAACCGGTTCCGGGTTTTATCGTGGCGAAGAACAACCTGTTCCACTCGCTATCGTCCAAGGTCAGGAAGCTGAAACTTAAAACGTGCTTTTCTCTTAAATAGTTCACCACATAAAAACAAACTCCTGCTGAACGTTGGTGTTTTGACATGTTATGGAACAACTCTAAGGCTTTAATATGCAGCTCCTCAACTTGATCTAATGTGTCTTATTTTTAATATCAATCATACTTGTGTTTTAATAAACAGTTCATGTGTGTTTATCTGTCTGCAGACTGAATATTTATAACATTTTATAACTGAGGTGAGCTGTACTTTATGTTGTTTACTCTAAGGTGCTAAATGACTGCTTTGAAGTGTCCAAACTCACCTCAGATTTACTGTATACCTGCTCCACATGATCCCAAAGCCAAACTAAGGCTAATTTATTCGTTTGTCTCTTTATTTCTCCTCCTAATCCGCCTGTAAAAAGTTTTTTATTTATGTGTGTGTAGATGATGTGTCTGGTGACCTTCTGGTTGCTGCTCAGACAAACACTCACAGAGAGAGAAGAGAAGACAAAAGAAGACAACGCAGGTCTCTCCGACGTCTATGTGGAGGATCAGAAGAAGAAGGGTGCGCTCAGAGCTCTTTGTTTAGATTATAGTAATCTAAAGCACGGGTCAAGTTTAAAAGGATGTGTCCTCATCCAGAAGTGTGTGTGTTCTCTTTCAGAGGAGGAGCAATCCGAGGAGGGGGGCGAGCAGGACATCATGCATGTTCTTGGTAACTTGATGATGAGCATGTTGGTCAAATACTGGATCTACATCTGTGGTGGGATGTTCTTCTTCGTCAGCTTTGAGGGAGACATCGTCATGTACAAGATCATCTACATGATGATGTTACTGTTCTGCGTGGCTCTCTACCAGGTACCTCAACCTCATCCTGTCTTAAATTAGTCATCTGAATATATTTTGGGTCTGTCCAAATTCATCAATGTTGTTAAGCAAACGGAGGCGGTGGTAGAGTTGTGTTGCTGTAAGCCAATCTGAAGCGAGATATCTGAAAATCAGGAAATGAGGCTCCAAATCCTGGACTGAGATGTTCGCAATTCTTTCCTGCTTTGTCCAACATTATTACAAGAGCAGAAATCTCCTGTTAAGCCTGCAATGAATCCTGGGATAGCCTTTGGCAGTTGGGATACATCAGATCCATCCTTGAAATTTGTGGGAAACAAAGAGGCATTGTAGGTGAATTTTAGAGGGATTCCACACTAGCATCGGCTCTACTTTGCCTGAACTAGGTACAGAGTGTTCCCACCTGGGTATCCTTGTATTTTTTCAACCATCTTCCAAAGGTGGTCTGTTTTGGGCTGAACTGGTCCAACACACCCACTGCCGACTGATTGGCCAGCTCAAATTCATGCCTACCATTAGGGGGAGCCTCCGATTGGCGGGTAGAATCAGCCAGCTGGGGCTTCCCTCATGCGCTAGTCGTTATCATGCTGGTGACTGGGCAGGAAACAACCCTCTGACTGAAGCCATCTGTCTGAGGAGCACACACACGCACGCACGCACACACGCACGCACACACAACGTCTGTACCCCCCCCCCCCCCCCTCTCTCTCTCTCTCTCTCTCTCTCTCTCTCTCTCTCTCTCTCTCTCTCAGCTTCAGCTGCGTGAGGATACACACAGCAGTCTGAGGGCAATATCAGATCACTTCACACTGTTTGCTGATCACCTCATGCTGTTTTTGTCATGAGTAACACACACACACACACACACACACACACACACACACACACACACACACACACACACACACACACACACACACACACACACACTGATTCAGGTTCTGACAAAAAGCCATAAAACTCAGCAAAAAGTCCAGCAACACCACAATTTTTCTGCTGAGTTACACTGATCACCTCATGCTGTTTTTGTGTGGAGTAAAGATCTCTCTCTCTCTCTCTCTCTCTCTCTCTCTCTCTCTCTCTCTCTCTCTCTCTCGCTCTCTCTCACACACACTCACTCACTCACTCACTCTCACTCTGTGTGTATATATATATATATATATATACACACACATATAATTTATTTAATTAATTTATTTTTGCCTTGTACTGTTACAGTGGGATATCACGACTCTGTTGTGTTTGTACGTGAACTGATCCGCTCTGATCAGTACCTATACTCCACCATAGTAGCCGTTTCTCTAATTATTGCCACTTTATAATATTATTTTATCATGATTATATTCTTACTTCCTATATTTGCTTATCTCTTATTTTTATCCGTCTTTTTGCACTAATACTGCTGCAGTTTCCTAATGTTGTGATTTCTCACACATACGGGAATAAAACCTTCTGATTCTGAAACTCGTTATTACAAGATTTTCTTGATAAAACTCAATTTTTTTGTAAAATTGTAAATAGCCTGTGTTTGTATAGCACTTTCTTAGGGTTCTACAACCCCCCCAAGGTGCTTCGCAGTCATTCACCCATTCACACACACATTCACATGTTGGTGATGATGAGCTACGATGTAGCCACAGCTGCCCTGGGGCGACAGAAGCAAGACTGCTGAACACTGACGCCACCGGTCCCTCCTACCACCACCAGAGGGCAAAACGGGTTAAGTGTCTTGCCCAAGGACACAACAGCAGCATTCTCTGGCAGGAGCCAGGATTGAACCTGCAACCTTTAGATTACTGGACAACCTGCTCCACCTCCTGAGCTTCTATACTGTTTTTATGAGAAACATTCTTGTTATGTTAAGATTCTGCTCCTTTGTTACTTAGCTTTGACAGCAATTTGCTTTCAAAAAATAATATCATAAAAATTCATCATGTGTCTGCAGCTGCCTCTTGGCCAGGTCGTCGTTGTAATGAGTTCTCAATTGACTCATCTGGTTAAATAAAGCTTAAATAAATGAACGAAAATATATAGATACAATATTCCAAAATAACAGCACTTTCCTTGGTTTATGGTTTTAGTTTAAAATCAGATCCTTGTTAGATAACGCAGACGTTTGTTGTACTCTGCAGGTGCACTATGAGTGGTGGAGGAGGATCCTGAAGTACTTTTGGATGACAGTGGTTATATACACCATGCTGGTCCTCACCATCGTCTACACCTTCCAGTTTGAGCGCTCTGAAGGGTTCTGGGTTGGAATGCTGAACATAAAAAATGAGAGGTGAGACTGGTTTCATTTCCAAGACAGGAGCTGCTTTGTTTGAATAAACGGCTTAGTCATCGAGCTTTGGCTTTATTTTTTAAACATTTGTAATAAAACTGTCTAATCATTTGTGGCAGCTTGAAGGATCTGGGCTTGGAGCGGTTTTCCTTGTCCACGCTGTTCACCAGGATTTTCATCCCCACCTCCTTCCTGCTGGTGTGCAATCTCCACCTGCACTACTTCCACGACCGCTTTCTGCAGCTCACCGACCTCCAGGCCGTCGTGGCCAAAGAGGAAAGCACCATCTACAGGTGAGACTTGTTTGCCACACATGAATAAACACATTTGGCTTGTTTAACAAATTATCTGAACTTAAAAAGGCTGAGGACCTGTGGTCGTGCCTGGTGGCTCTTTTATGGTAAAGAAAATCAAAGAAACAAGTTGCCTCAATGGACCCCACGTTGAAACTTTAGTCCCTTTTTCCATCACATCTCCTAAATTCCCATCATAACCATGTTTTTATTACTCACCCCGCTGTTTTGTACAGCAACCCACAGCCAGTGGAGCTCGTTTCGTTCCCTGTTGTGTTCTTGAGGCTTTTCCTTTGTTCTCCACTCAGCTGCTTCTCTCTGTGACCTGCTGCCTTTTCTCCTCTGCCGTCCTTCTCTCACAGCCACGCTAAAGTCAGCGGGCGTGTCTATTTGATCATAAATAGGTGGGTATCTGCTCGCTTCTTTGTGGCATCTGGCGTTCCCCCTCCTGTTTCCTCCCCCATGAGCTCCTGGAACGGAAGTATTTAACGTAACATGATTGGGTTTCTTTTTCAGGCTTTGGTTTTTCTGTGTTTTGCTTGTAGCCTTCTCTGTTATTTGACCTCCAGTTTCTTACCAGAACACCCCCCACCCCCCTTAATGAACCCAAAACCTTCTCAAGAAAAACCCATTTTCCTCTAACAGAAACCTTCTTCTCAAGCATGTTTGGATCTGCCAGAACAACTTCTTCCTCTTCAATAATAATCCGATAATCCACATCCTGCTTGTTCTCCCCTTCCCCCAAAGAAGCTCGTTTCCCCAAAAATATCGGGCCCATGTGGCCAGCCTTGACATTTGAGTGATTTTCAGGTTGATCTCCTCCACTCTGTTAATTGTCACTTCTGTGTAACTTTTTCTTTCCCGAGCAGCATCAAAGAAAAAATTCCCTCTCCGCAGAGCAAGTAAGTGTGCCTCCTGGATGGCAGAATTCTTGTCTTGATATGCAGCCGATTCATGTCAAACCTGAACTTTGACATCGCTCCATTGCCTGAGGAGACTTAAATGTGGGGGGGTTACGTCCTCCGACTGTTTAATTGCTGCAAAAACAGAAAAATACTTGGAATGTGCACTGCTTTCTGATTACAATGCCTGATCCTGACAAAGTTGATGGTTCTGCCTTGCAGCTGTTTGACAATCACCTGGATCATGGGAGTAAGTGGGAGATGTATTTATGTACTTATGAGGATGTTTTTTTTATTGCAGCTGTAAAATTATGATTTAAACGTACTGTTTAGAAAGCTCTTCTCTTTTTTTTAGTGATAATCCCTACTTGCCCATGCCAGTCTGTGAATGTCAGTTTTTTTCTGATCCTTGCATCTTCCACAGCTCTCATAGCTGCAGCGGTCGCTCTGCTCAGACGCTCTGGAATGGTTTTCACGACAACATTAGCGAGCAGCTAATGAGTTCTTAATGCTAGATAAGCTTTGCTCTCAGCATTCAAACCTTAACACGTTCCTAAGTCATAAAAGCAATCGATGGGAGCAGTGGGAGATTACTTTTAACACTGATTTAAGCTTTGTTGAACAATTATAATTTAAGGGTTTAATGGAATCTCCTAATGGTAGTCAAACTGTGTTTCAGGTGAATTATGGTTAGGATTGTGTGTGTGTGTGTGTGTGTGTGTGTGTGTGTGTGTGTGTGTGTGTGTGTGTGTGTGTGTGTGTGTGTGTGTGTGTGTGTGTGTGTGTGTGTGTGTGTGTGTGTGTGTGTGTGTGATTAAAACTATCCTCTTCTAAAATAAGTTGACTTTGTAGGATGCTCACCTCCATTCCTTTCATGGCCTAAATCACATGTGGTGTTTTGTGGTGGCAGAGCAGGTAAAGATGGCAAAATAAGGGCAAAACAAATGGGCAGAACCAAAATTCCTCCATTTTTAATAATGTCACCTGCGGATGTAAAACGGTGTCTACAGCCTCTTTTAAATATGAACTCAGGGGCAGAAGAAGGGAAGAAAACCCTGGTCCTGAAGGGCCCTTAGTAGGTTTTAGTTGTTTCCCTGATCCAGTTGTTGAATTACGTGTTCAGCAGGTCATCAAGCTCTGCAGAAACATCATCTGCTTGTTAAAAATCAGGTGTGTTGAGGCAGAAAAACCTGTAAAACACAGGAATGTCTCTGCTTCAGCACACCTGTTCCTCTGCATCTGCCCAAACAGGTGTGTTTGGTTGAAAAGATCTCATGAATATGCCTTTAGTGTAAATATGTGTTTCTGTCCTAAAGTAACCGAGCCATTTCTCACTTCTCTGCCCTACTGGTTGAAAGTGGAATTACAACTGTAGTAAACAACCCAGCTGCAGCCTGCTGTAGCTAGCGCTAACCAACTAATACTAAAATAAACCACAAAGTAAAAAGATCCACACCGTTGGACAAAAATTACTTTTACTTACAAGTCCAGTACCAATTATTTGGTGCTGCGTCTGCAACAATGAGTCAATGTAAGCTTTAAAAACAGATTGATTGAATATTTTATGGGACAGTAGGAGTCTTGGTAAGGTGAGTTATAAAGTGTCTCTGCTCTATTAAAATAACTCTAATATCAAATTCAGTCTAACTTTTTCACATCAGTTAATTCAGTTTTAATAAAATTTATATCATAAATATTACTGTATAAAAATGTGTAATTATTTAAAGTTAGAAATAGCTGCCTTTACCATAAAAATCTTAAATTTATGGCAAAATAATATCATAAAATAGGGTTTATGTTATTGCATGAACTAATATCAAAAGATTGATTGAACTGGTCCCACTGTGTTAGCCATTAGGTTCTTTGTCTGTTCAGCATTTATCTTTATTTCTCCAAGCTGAGGTCATTCACGTCTGTAAGATGATAATCGGTTATGTTCAGATTTTTCTTTCAAACTATCTGAATTATCACTCTGACTCTGCTTGTTTCATGGATGAAATAAGAAAACGTTATTTTTATAATAGCCCAAACAAAACCCACAAAATCACAAACTTTGTTAAATTTAGAAATGATCTAATGAGTATTGAGTCCTCATGAGTATATGAATACAGGCGTGTTCAGATGAATGTGTGGATTTTTATCTAACTGGGTGAACTGCTCCCTTGTCTTCAGATTGGTGGACCAGGATGGAAGTCTGGCAGACCTCACCATGCTTAGTGGCAGCTCAGTGGATGCTGCGCTGCCCAAAGAAAAGGAGGCGCAGCAGGAGGAGCAGGAAGGTTGGGACTCAGAGAGAGAGAAGAAGCAGGCCCTGGTGGCGGTGATGGATACAGACACCCACATGACAAGAGAGAAACCCAGGAGCTTCTCAGACCAGCGCCAGTCCAGCACTGAGGAGAGCCAACACTGCAGCGCTGCAACCGAACCGGAACCGAGCACAGAGCAGAGTTCTGGTAATTCTCACTAATAACGAATAAACTGGACTTTTCTTGTTTTCCTTCAAAATGTTTCAAATCTCATCCAAGAAGCTTCTTCAGTCCTGAATGAGCATTTGCTTTGCTCACATTTTACCTGTTAGGTTTGTTCCAGGGATTCCAGAAACCATTTTTTACTTGTTATATGATCGACCACGAGTTTAACACGCAGGCTGACCGAGACAATGGCCTTCTACCCCTATTTCCTGCATAAGGCACCAATTGAAAATAGTTTAAAGCTGTGGAACCCTGAAAATCCATTTTTTATGATCATTTCTGATTATAATTGGCATGTCTCCTGCACTTTTTTCTGTCCAAAAACAGTATTACGCCATATTAAATAGACACTGGTTGAGCACTAGGACCAAGCTGCTTGCGTTGAAGCCTGTTTCTCATTAGAACCGTCCATAAGCTCATCTATTGGCTCTGCTGATACTTGCTAACGTGTGACTGGCTGTAGATATCAAAACCACGTCCATGATAATCGATCACTGAGTTTTTCATGCAAGCTGAACACGAAAATAGTTTATGTTTATGTATTTAGCAGATGCTTTTATCCAAAGCGACTTACAATTTATGACCTGTAGGGTATGTTGTGATCTGTGGGGGAAGACCGGAGTACCCGGAGGAAACCCACGCATGCATGGCGAGAACACGCAACTCCACGCAGAAAGGCTGCAGCCGAGCCGAGTTTCGAACCTGCAACCTTCGTGCTGCGAGGCAACAGTGCTAACCACTGCGCCACCATGCAGCCTATAAATAGTCTCCTACACCTATCTCCTGTAATAGCTTCTGATAGAAAATAGACGATGAAACTCTAGGATTTAAAAAGTCTGACAGATCTATGTCACACTGTCACTTATGGACTCACCCGTCTTGACTCCAAACAGAGAAGGCTGCAGTTTTGGTGTCCAGGAAACAGCAGAGAACTTCTCGACTAGTAGAAGCTTATCGTTAGCATTAGCAACTCCACCACAAAACAGAACTCCTTCAGGCTTGTGTTATTTGTGGAGATGAAACATTCGCATTGCAAGTCAGTGGTAGAGTTGCGATGCTGTTACCCAATCCAAGGCGAGACGTCCAAACCTGCCGCCTGAAGCTCATCTGTGATGTAGCTCACTCCTAGTTCCTGAAAATTGTGCACCCATGTTTTTTTAAAATGGGTCTGCATTGGGGTTCTAATCCTGAGCAGCGTTTGTTAGTTTTGCATCGTCAGCCTGAGACAAATGGAAGAGAAAGCAATTTATTCAGTGGATGAAAATCTGTGCAGCCACAGTGTTCTGTGTTGCACACAGCCCTTTTCATTTCATAATAACCACCAGAGGGTCGCCCCGGTATGCACTACACATCATGTAATCACACAAAAATGTGGGCGTTGCAGCGAGTGCACAGATGAGAGTAGCATGTTTTGTTTTGAATGTGCAGCCATGCTTTCCTGCATGCAGCTCAACTATAAGTTGCGTAAATGCTCCAGAAGTCAGGATCCCTTTGTTTCCAGCTGCCCTCTCCCTGCCCCCAACCCCATCCCCCTAATCATCCAGCCATTCATCATTGTTGGCCAAGTGGTAAGAAAAAGGTTTTTGCATTCAACAGATTTATTTCTAGTTATATATTCTGACACAACTTGCAGCTCAAGCGCTCATTTTCATGCTCCTGCAAACAGCAACTGAAACTAAAGACTGATCTTAAATTAAAATGTGGTTTATATACACAGAAAGTAAAATGGGTAATAAAACACAGCCCTGCAGGACCTCTGGGCTTGTAATGAGCTGCAGGTTAAACACGCTAGTGCTCTCTCCGAGTTTCCTATCCAAACAATGAGGCCTCTGTTCAAAACCTCTGATATGTAAAACCCAAGCTATTTATGAGAGTTAAAAACCAAAAATTACAGTAAATCACAATTCTCAGGTTGTTAAAGATGAAATTGATCTTTTTTTTCAAAGTGTGTTTATGCAAATGTTGAGTTGAGGTATGAGAGGAAATACTCATTTTTAATACATTTAACATTTTTGTAATTATTTTTAATATCAAAGTTTTACTTGTATAAAATCAAAGTTATTTGTAGAGTTCGAATACCCGAATAAACAAACGTTTTAATAATTGGGTTAAGTTGAACTCGGAGAACTTCAGAGAAGAACTGTTGCCGTCATCGTCGTCGTCTTCCTCCGCTTATCCGGGTCCGGGTCGCGGGGGCAGCATCCCAACTAGGGAGCTCCAGACCGTCCTCTCTCCGGCCACCTCCACCAGCTCCTCCGGCAGGACCCCAAGGCGTTCCCGGACCAGATTGGAGATGTAACCTCTCCAACGTGTCCTGGGTCGACCCGGGGGCCTCCTGTCGGCAGGACATGCCCGAAACACCTCCCCAGGGAGGCGTCCAGGAGGGATCCTGAACAGATGCCCAAACCATCTCAACTGACTCATTTCGATCCGGAGGAGCAGCGGTTCTAATCCGACTCCCCCCCGAATGTCCGAGCTCCTCACCCTATCTCTAAGGCTGAGCCCGGCCACCCTACGGAGGAAACTCATTTCGACTGCTTGTATCCGCAAAGGAAACTCATTTCGACCGCTTGTATCCACGATCTCGTTCTTTCGGTCATTACCCAAAGTTCATGGCCATAGGTGAGGATTGGGACGTAGATCGACCGGTAAATCGAGAGCCTAGCTTTCTGGCTCAGCTCCCTCTTCACCACGACAGATCGGCTCAGCATCCGCATCACTGCAGACGCTGAACCAATACGCCTGTCGATCTCCTGATCCCTCCTACCCTCACTCGTGAACAAGACCCCGAGATACTTAAACTCCTCCACTTGAGGTAGAACCTCTCCCCCGACCCGGAGTTGGCAAGCCACCCTTTTCCGGTGGAGAACCATGGTCTCAGATTTGGAGTTGCTGATCCTCATCCCAGCCGCTTCACACTCGACCACAAACCTACCCAGCAAGAGCTGAATGTCAGGGCTGGATGAATTTCCCCCTTGGGGATTAATAAAGACAACCTTGAACCTTGAAGCTAGGAGGACCACATCATCCGCAAAAAGCAGAGACGAGATTCTCCTGCTACCAAACTCAACACACTCCACACCACGGCTGCACCTAGAAATTCTGTCTATAAAGGTAATGAACAGAACCGGTGACAAAGGGCAGCCCTGGTGGAGTCCAACCCTCACCGGGAACAGGTCCGACTTACTACCGGCTATGCGGACCAAACCCACGCTCCTCTGGTAAAGGGACTGAATGGCCCTTAACAGAAAGCCGCCCACCCCATACTCCTGGAGCGTCCCCCACAGGGTGCCCCTGAGGACACAGTCATAAGCCTTCTCCAAATCCACAAAACACATGTGGATTGGTTGGGCAAACTCCAATGCCCCCTCCATCACCCTTGCAAGGGTATAGGGCTGGTCCACAGTTCCACGGCCAGGACGAAAACCACATTGCTCCTCCTCAATCTGAGATTCAACTATCGATCGGACCCTCCTCTCCGGCACCTTGGAGTAGACCTTTCAAGGGAGGCTGAGGAGTGTGATCCCCCTATAGTTGGAACACACCCTCAGGTCACCCTTCTTAAAGATGGGGACCACCACCCCGGTCTGCCACTCCACAGGAACTGCCCCCGATGACCATGCAATGTTGCAGAGACGTGTCAACCATGACAGCCCTACAACATCCATAGCCTTGAGATACCCAGGACGAATGTCATCTGCCCCCGAGGCTCCACCGCTGTGTAGTTGTTTGACTACCTCAGCAACTTCTGCCCCCGAGATTGGACAGTCCATCCCCAGGTCTCCCGGCTCTGGTTCCTCCTCGGAATGTGCGTAGGTGGGATTGAGGAGCTCCTCAAAGTATTCCTTCCACCGTCCGACAGTTGACGTCAGCAGTTCCCCATCCCCACTGTAAACATTGTCAGTGAGTTGCTGCCTTCCTCTCCTGAGGCGCCGGACAGTTTGCCAGAACCTCTTTGGAGCCGATTAATAGTCTTTCTCCATGGCCTCACCAAACTCCTCCCATGCCTGAGATTTTGCCTCGGCAACTGCCACTGCTGCACCCCGCTTGGCTATCCGGTACCTGTCTACTACCTCCGGAGACCCACAGACCAGCCATGCCCTGTAGGCCTCCTTCTTCAGCTTGACGGCTCCCCGAACCTCTGGTGTCCACCAGCGGGCACAGGGGTTGCCACCATGACTGGCACTGGCCACCTTGCGACCACAGCTATCAACAGCCGCCTCAACAATCGCAGAGTGGAACAAGACCCACTCGGAGTCAATGTCCCCCACTGCTCTCGGGACGTGGTCAAAGCTCTGCCGGAGGTGGGAGTTGAAGACCGTCTTGACAGGTTCTTCTGCCAGGCGTTCCCAGCAGACCCTCACTATGCGTTTGGGTCTGCCAGGTCTATGCGGCATCTTCCCCTGCCATCTGATCCAACTCACCACCAGGTGGTGATCAGTTGACAGCTCCGCTCCTCTCTTCACTCTGGTGTCCAAAACATATGGCCACAGGTCAGATGATACGACTACAAAGTCTATCATCGACCTGCGACCTAGGCTGCCCTGGTACCAAGTGTACAGATGGGCATCCTTTTGTTCAAACATGGTGTTCGTTATGGCCAAACTGCAGCTTGCTAAGAAGTCCAATATTGAAACACCACTTGAGTTCAGATCAGGCGGACCGTTCCCCCCAATCACACCCCTCCAGGTCAAGCTGTCATTGCCCACATGAGCATTGAAGTCCCCCAGCAGGACAATGGAGTCCCCTGATGGAGCACTATCTAGCACTCGTCCCAGGGACTCCAAAAAGGGTGGGAACTCTGAACTGATATTTGGCCCATAAGCACAAACAACAGTCAGGACCCATTCCCCAACCCGAAGACACAGGGAAGCTACCCTTTCGTCCCCCGGGGTAAACCCCAACATGCAGGCAGAGAGTCTTGGGGCTAACAAAAAGCCAACCCAGCCCTCCGCCTCTCACCCAGAGCAACTCCAGCAAAGGAGAGTGTCCACCCCCTCTCAAGGACTTGGGTTCCAGAGCCAATGCTATATGTCGAGGTGAGTCCGACTATATCTAGCCGGTACCGCTCAACCTCTGCCACAAGCTCCTGCTCCTTCCCCGCCAGCGAGGTGACATTCCATGTCCCAAAAACCAGTTTCCTTGTCCGTGGATTGGACTGCCAAGGCTCCCGCCTCGGTCTGCCACCCAATCCACACTGCACCGGACCCTTCATGTCCCTCCTGCGTGTGGTGGGTCCACAGTTGGATGAGCCCATGTATCCGTTTCCAGCTGGGCCCGGTCGGGCCCCATGGGCGAAAGAGCTGTTGTGTGTTGTAGGAAATTGTCATAAAGTTAACAGCTCCTTAATATCATTGCTTTATATTTATATACCACTGTGGTCAATTTCCAAATCATCTTATTTTACTTTTTGTGTATGCATCAAATCGGATTAGTACAGAAGCTCATTACTGTCAGTGCAAGGAAAAAATATGGAGTCAGTATCTCATAACAAGAAGGTTTCTCATTATAACAAATTAATCTTGTTTTAACGAGAAACTTTCCAGCAACAACCACATAAAAAAGTCATTTTAATGAGAACTTTCCTTGAAATATCCATTCGGCCGCTTATGTGGAGTCGGGTTGCTGTGGCAACAGCCCAAGTCAAGAGACCCAGACTTCTCTTTCCCCAGCCACTTGGGCCAGCTCTTCTGGGGGAATCCCAAGACGTTCCCTGGCCAGGTGAGAGACATAGTCCCTCCAGCGTGTCCTTGGTCTCCTTTTAGGTCTCCTCCCAGTTGGACATGCCAGGAAAACCTCATCAGGGAGGTGTCCAGGAGGCATCCTAACCCGATGCCCGAGCCACCTCATCTGCCTCCTCTCGATGTGGTGGAGCAGCAAATCTACTCCGAGCCCCTTCCGGATGACTGAGCTTGTCACCCCATCTCTAAGGGAGAGCTCAGCCACCCTGCAGAGAAAACTCATTTCAGCCGCTTGTATCCACGATCTAATTCTTTCGGTCACTACCCAAAGCTCATGACCATAGGTGAGGGAAGGAACGTAGATTGACCAATAAATCAAGAGCTTCTCCTTCTGGCTCAGTTCTCTTTTCACCACAACAAACTGGTACAACACCCGCATCACTGCAGATGCAGCACCAATCCGCCTATCGATCTCACACTCCGTCTTTCCCGCACCCGTGAACAAGACCCCGAGATACTTAAACTCCTCCACTTGAGGCAGAACCTCATCCCTGACCAGGAGAAGGCATTCTACCCTTTTCCAACTCAAGACCATGATCCTGGATTTAGAGGAGCCGATTCCCATCCCAGCTGCTTCACACCTTTGCAAACCACTCCAGCGAGAGCTGGAGATCACTGTCCGATGAACCCAACAGGACCACATAATCTGTAAAAAGCCAATAACCAATCCTTAGGCCACCAAAACAGATCTCCTCAATGCCTTGGCTGCTCCTAGAAACCCTGGCCATAAAAGTTATGGACAGAATCGGTGACAAAGGGCAGCCTTGGCAGAGTCCAATTTTCACTGGAAACAAGCTCAACTTACTGCCGGCAATGCGGCCCATGCCCTGACCGCTCATACAGGGACCTAACAGCCCATATAAAAGGGCCTGGTACTCCATATTCCTGGAGTACCCCCCACAGGGCCTCTTGAGGGACATGGTCAAACGCCTTCACCAAATCCACAAACGTGTAAATTGGCTGAGCGAACTCCACGCACCCTAAGGGCATAGAGCTAGTCCAGTGTTCCACGGCAGGACGAAAAACACGTTGCTCCTCCTGAATTTGAGGTTCAAAAATCCACAGGACCCTTCTCTCCAGAACCCCTGAATGGAACTTACCAGGCAGGCTTAGGAGTGTGATCCTCCTGTAGTTGGAACACACTCTGCGGTCCCCCTCTTTAAATTGAGGGACCACAACCCTGGTCTGCCAGTCCAGTGGAACTACCCCGATGTCCTCTGAATACTGCAGAGCCGTTTAAGTGTGCATGGTGGGGTCCGCAGAGAAGCTAATGAGTGTAATTTGTTGATTTATGCACCATTGTTGTGGCGCTGCTGCTGCTGTACTAAACTAAATATTAGAAAGTGAAATAACTGCCTTTAGAGCAGAATGCCACAACTTTCTTTATATGTCGTTAAGACGAGATCCATAACATGTTATAATAAGAAATGCTGTGGTCATTTAGATACCGGTCATATTTTTTTCCTCGCACTGACGGCAAAACGGTTCTGTAGGTTTGTTTTCAAAACCTGAAAATTATTGTTTTAATGAATTTTTTTTAAACCGTAAATACATATGTATATGAAAATGAATAGCTCACAATGAAACTAAAGCGTTGAAACTTTAGATTTCAACTACAGTGACATCATTTAAAGTAAAAATGAAATTTATTATCTGATGCATGAAAATAACTGTCAATCTACTCTTTCATACGATAAAGTTTATCTCTCGCCAAATAGAATATTTACTAAGAAATCACAATGTAACCATAGACACATTGCTTGGTGTGTGTGTGTGTGTGTGTGTGTGTGTGTGTGTGTGTGTGTGTGTGTGTGTGTGTGTGTGTGTGTGTGTGTGTGTGTGTGTGAGTGCGTGCGTGCGCATGCGTGCGTGCGTGCATGCGCTGTCTTCACGATCCCCAGTGAGTCGTGGTGGATGGCTGCTTATACTGAGCCAGGATCCTCTGGAGGTTTCTTCCTGTTAAAAGGGAGTTTTCCTCTCCACTGTCGCTACATGCTTGCTTAGTATGAGGATTGCTGTAAAATCATTGACACTAGTCAGTGACTTGATGCAATTTGCTGGGTTCCTTATATATGAAACATTTTTTCTGATCGACTTAATGAACTGACCTGGATTGGAATGTTTATGTGAAGTGCCTTGAGATGACTCTTGTCGTGATTTGGCGCTATATAAATAAAATTGAATTGAATATTGTGGCACCAAATAAACAAGATAAATCAATGAAGTTTGATTTAAACATGTTTTATTTGACAGTTGAGTCGACTGAGTTTTAATTCCTTTTCCTGTTAGGTCTGAAGAATAAATGGCACCTGGTGGTCGACCGACTCACGGTGCTCTTCCTCAAGTTCCTGGAGTATTTCCACAAACTCCAGCTGTTCATCTGGTGGTTACTGGAGATCCACATCATCAAGATTGTGTCGTGTTACATCATCATGGTCACCATCTACGAGGTACGACACCTTCAGCCTGATTGGCATTCATAATCCTCTTTATTTAAGGTGTCAGCGTTGACTTTTAGGATGTTTTAGGAGTCATTCAAGACGCTGAAATAAATCTAACCAAAAAACAAGTAAAGTAAAATGTTTTCAACAGCAATTCTGCAAAACAAGCTAGCATTAAACATTTTTTCATGCCCGTGAACAATGTTCTAACTATGTAATAACTATGTTGTGGAGATAAAATACAAACAAAAGAAGTAGTTAGCTAATTAAACACAAATAATTTTCTTTATTAAATCTCCGTGATTCTTAATGCGAGAATCAATTATTTGACTTTTAAAAATCTTTAACGTAATACAAAGACACGTTTTAGAATAGAATAGAATAGAATTCAACTTTATTGTCATTGCACATGTACAGGTAAAGGGCAACGAAATGCAGTTTGCATCCATCCAGAAAGTGCTTTAGCCGTGATGTAGATGTATTACAATATATTTTAGCAATAATATAGATGTGTAAGTATATTACAGAAATGGATCTATTACGTATGTTATAATGTACACGGTATGAAGTATGTTATGAATATTCTATAACTATAAGTATGTACAGGCTGTAGTTATTACAAGCAGTCCATGAGTTTAACGTGGGTCATATGTCAGGAGGCAGCGTTCAGGAGTCTGACAGCTGTGGGGAAGAAACTGTTCCGGTACCTGGTGGTCTTAGTCCGGAGGCTTCTGTAGCGCCTCCCAGAGGGCAGCAACAATTACTAATTGTTGCAGTGAAAAAGGCTAGTTCTGGTTTACAGGAGGAAGGGGAAGGAGAACGTCAGCGGAAAAAGGCTTAACACGATCGTTTTAGCACCTGTATTGTCTCTTGTGCAGGTGTCTTTGCTCAACTATGTGTTCCTGGCGACCTGGGCTTTTGCGCTGCCCTACAGCAAGTACCGACCCCTTGCCTCTATTGTTTGTACTGTCTGGACGTGTGTCATCATTGTATGCAAAATGCTTTACCAGCTGAAGTCAATAAGTCCCGCTCCGTACAACTGCACTATGGTAAACATCATTTTCACACCACACATCTCCTCCAGATCCTGATTCATGTATTTGATTGTGTGCATTGCACGAGACATGTTATAACTTTATTTTACTTGTTAAAACTTGCTTGTCATCAGAAGGGGAACAGATTTTTGTTTTTGTGCACAGGACAGCCGGTACGAACCGAAACAGAAAGAAGAGTTGGCTGGCTCTCTGCTGTACAGCGACAAAAAAGGCGATCCTGGTAACTGGGTGGGCCTGCGCAAGTCAACTGACCTGCTGGGATACCTCCGGGTAATTTATTTACCAAAGTCTGCAAAGCCACTTAACTCTGACTTACAAGTCATTCACGTGTGAACCAAGTAGTCTGTTTGAACGACTCATTTGTTTTTATTTGGTACATTTACAGAAAGATAACCGTAATGTGTTGATTTTGCACAAAAAACCATAGAAATCATCACAAAAAGTCAAACTGATTTGCTTTATTTGCATTTGAAATAAAAATTGAATGTTTTCAAGAAGATAATTTTATTTTTATTTCTATTTGTCCAAAATATAAATATTTTCTGTACTAAGCAACAACTGGGTAAACCTTTTGGGTGGTCTGAGTGTTCATGATATAAAACCAACATATGAGTGCATTTAGTTGCCTAACAAGTTAGGTTTGAATCCCTGTTGCAGTACAACCTGTTGATGCTGGCGCTGCTGGCCTTTGAGGTGACCATTTACCGACATCAAGAGTACTTCAGGCTGAGGAACAAACTGTTGCCTCCAGCTGCTAGGATCATCTTCCATGACATCACGCGGCAACACCTGGACATCGGCATCATCTGCTTCATCAAGTACTTCATCAACTACTTCTTCTATAAGTTTGGACTTGAGGTACAAAGTGTGATGAGATTCAAATGTGAAGGTTTGTCCAGGAAATTGGTGAAAAATTTCAACATTTTATTCGCCTTCAATGTTTCTCTCAGACTTGCTTGCTGCTGGTGGTGAACGTCATCGGCCAGCGCATGGACTTCTACGCCATGCTTCACGCCTTTGCCTTGATAGCGGTCATGTACAGACGTCGAAGGAAAGCCATCGCTGAGATCTGGTCAAAGTACTGCTTCTTCCTGGCCAGCATGCTGACGCTCCAGTACTTTATCTGCATCGGGATCCCGCCTGCTGCTTGTAAAGGTTTGTGTGTTTAAATGGGCCGCATTCCACTCCTGACTACAGCAAGTGATTCTGTTCTGACGTGAAAAAGTTAGGTGGATAAAATGTAAAAACTAAAATATGTTTTTATTTAAAGTAAAACATCACAATTTAAATGATAAAAACTAAAAAGGCTAGTTAAAAACTCCACATTTTAAAAGTTACAAGAAAAAGTAAAATGATAGAAAAATATTTTAATTATTGTTAATAAAAATCTTCACTTAACTTTAGGAAATGTTAAGTTTCCAGGTTTCTCCATGTTTGGCTTTTAAAAGGTTAATTCTGCTTCACCTTCATCTTTGTGTTACTTGTATCCAAGCTGAGACTTTCTTCCAGCTCTGGGCAGCTCCGTAAAGAAAGCAGACGTTTTAATGTTGTTTATCTGCACGCCTCATGATGATGTTTTAATTTCAGAATATCCCTGGAGGCTTCCAGGCTCCTATACAGACTCCAATGTGATCAAGTGGCTCTACATCCCAGATTTCCTAATGAGACCCAATCCAAACTTCCTTATTTGTGAGTCTAAATCATTAATAATATCAGTAGTTGATAGTAGTGGCCTGATTCCTGTGTTTTTCTAAGAAAAAAACCCTCATTGTTTAATATTGCAAGGTTGGTTTTTGCTATTTAAACACAGTTAAGTACATTTTTGATGTAATGGATTTAGAGATGTCATAAACCTGCAAAAAAGGAAAACATGCTCTAACAATGCAGTGACAATATCAGCTCAAAAGCATCACAGTTTACATCAACAATATTTGCATTACGTCATTTGTATAGAGATCTCATGTCCATTTTTTTTGCTTAAAATTTCCTATGCTGCAAGGGTGCTCTTCAACGTCAGATTCAAAAAGCTAATGTCAGCTGGCGCAAGCCTATAGAAATTAGCAGGTCTCAACAGAATATGGGACTGATTTGTTTTGAAATGTCACAAAACACTCAGAAAGTATGAATTAGACTTTTCCTGACATAGCCATCCTCTTTTGTTTGTCTTTGTCTTCATTTCTTCCCACTTATGCAAATAAATACCATGAGGTGATTAATATGGAAATGTTTTTACCAAAGCAGGAATTGCCTTTAAGTTCATGCATAATATCTTGTTTAAAGTAACACCAAAAAAGGTTTTTGCTTCTCCTTCCTACTGCTTGAAAACAAAATTACAACTGATGTAATGACTCTGCCACAGCCCACTGTAGCTAGTGCTAACAGTGAGCTAATGCTATCATGAGCCAATTGATAATAAATAAGCCACTGAGTAAAAAAATCTACACACTGCTGGACCAAATATATTATTACTTACAAGTCCAGTAACAACAAAGCCAGGTCATCATCAGTGTGGGTTTGTAGCCTCCTTTAGCTCCCTCAAACTAGTATAGCGCTCCGAATGTCACGTGACTCTCAGAGAGTAGACGCCATGTTGGCAGGCAACAAATTAAAACAAAATGAACGGGATCGGCTTGGATTTTACTTCGTCGGAGTTTACTTCACACTTAAAAACCGAAGAAATTGTTTTATATAGTTAGAAATTAAATAGACTAAACATCTCCGACCCTTACCGTGCCCCTGGGATACTTCTTAAAAAAAGCCAGAAGCTGTCAGAGCCGACTTCTTACCGGACCTGGCTGGGGAACCCCTTGGGATTCCCCCGGAGGAGCTGGCCCAAGTGGCTGGGGAGAGGGAAGTCTGGGCCTCTCGACGGCTACTGCCCCCGCAACCCGACTCCGGATAAGCGGATGAAAATGGATGGATGGATGGACAAATAACATAGATTTACATGTAAGTAGTTTAAATAGAGTGCTGTGCTGTTTGAATGTATAAACTGAACACCAAGAGAAATCACTAGTTTGATTTTTTTTTCTGTGAATAAAATAAATATGTCAGGCAGGAGCATCTCAGGATATGTCTGAGATCTATCTCGGTGAGAGAGATAATAGCAATCCAAAGTGCTTTTTATGTGTGATCTGACAATTGATCAACCATTGCTTGAAAATTAAATACAGCTTAGCCGGTTAATTACTGTGATCATAAGACACGTAAACGGCAGCTCGCAGAAATCCCAAGGCAACGTTTTGCGTGATGTTAACTTGTTGCTATGAGTAATAAGACAGAAAAAGCCAAGCCAAAATAAGTTTAGGAAGCCCACTAAGAATCGTAATAAAAGCATTTAAAATAAATACCATACACAATTGAGGAAACGTTGGTTTAAGTACCTGATATGAAGTGGTCGCTGCATAAGCAAAAACCTTTACTCTCAGGATCCCACAGTTTCATTTTAGCCCGGTCACTAGCGCGTTTTATTACAATGATCCAGTGTTTTATTACAATGATCCAACGTTTGCAGTGCTCCGGATCTTGGGCAATCCAGTAGATGGCTCATTCCTTATGTCGTCCACGTCTGTTCTGCATCCTGGAGCACAACAGGAATTTACCATATTTCCCGTTTGATTGGGTTTTCTGACAATAACAAATACCGTAAATCCTCTCATACAGGCCGGTATTCAATTAAAGGCCAGGTCTCCAATTTTGGCCGGCGTCGGAGTCAGCGGAGGTAAATAATGGCCGGTCTCTTATTGTGGCCGGATGGAATGTGGTAACAAGCAAGTACGAGCGTCCCAGCGGCAGGGTTATAGTCCCCAAATCAACCAGCAGGAGGCAGTAGAGGTTCACGCAGACCTTTATTAGGCTTTTTCTTCAACGATTTGTAACGCTACAGACACGATCCTCTATCACGCTCCTACCACACAGAGTCACGGTGTCAGTTAACCATGCTAATTCAACCCGCTCCACAGAACACACATCACCTTCCCTGTGGCTTACATAACACTCACACAACACGCAAATCAGCACATAGGAACTAGCAGAACGATAGGAAACACATATAACACAATACCCAGAATGCACCTGGCTTACAACCCCAGCCAGGTCATTACACTATCAAGTTCAAAGAGAACGCGCTGATTATGCTGCAGAACACTCTGGAGAGCAGCAGTAGGGGGTGTATGAACTACAGTAATCCCTCGTTTATCGCGGTAGATGCGTTCCAGACCTGGCCGCGATAGGTGAAAATCCGCGAAGTAGGGACTCCCAGCATGCCCCTCGCGGGGATTCCCTCCACGTCGCACCTACATCACAAACCGCGGCTATAAACGGAAGTCGCCTTTCCAGCTCACCACTCAGTCATCGTTTCTTCGGATTCATGATCAGAGTTTCCAACCTACCGATCAATCCAACGAACTATGAAAGCCCGGCATTTCCGTGTCACTTCGTTGACGCTCGAACGCTCGGGGGTTTCCTAGAGCAGCCGGCGTTTCACCGACGCTATCACTTCTGCGTCTGTGAAACCACGCTCCCTATTGAATTATCGTATGATCACATTCTCTTTTTGGGGGTAAAACTCAAGAAAAATGTTTTTACTTGGTTTTTTTAGTTTTATTTTATTACAAAAAGTGCATTTTATGATGAAATTGATGAGAAAAAAACAAGAATTTCTTGATATTTCGCATAGAGGGGGCAACGCGCTGTGCCAGACTGTAGGTACTGACGCGCGATCGTTCATGTCGGTTCATTTCCTTTAATGTTTTCTGTCTTTTATTTGCGCCTGATGCATTTCGCTGCATGCTGTGGAGCGGGGCGCTGCGCGCATCACCTTGTCCTCCGACGCACTGATCACTGATACGGCCGCCAAACAGCAAGCGCTCAGCTGTTTTTGCGGTCGGTAGATCTTTTAGAACTGCAGTTCAAAGGTAACTCATGAGGTGAATATATATGAACCCAGGTAGCAGTTTTTCGTTAGGATTGAGAGGAGATGCAGGAAGATAATAAACAGACAGGACAGAAAAATAGTCAAATAAAAACAAGTTAGTTTTTGTACCTGCTGTTGCAACAAACAGACACCATTGAAGGTCATCAGAAGTGAGGAACAGATAATGAAATAATTATTTTAATGTTTAGAGCAGCAGGAACTCCGAGAGGCTGCAGGCGCATCAGTGAGTTTGCGGCCGCTGCGCAGGGGGAGGGGGAGAGATGGCTGAAGCAGGAACTACTGTTGTTAAAAGAAATGTGTTTAACTTTGAAAATGTGGGCGCACTTTTAATTGTCAAAAACTCCAGCGAACCATTAGTTCATTTTGCTCAAATAGAAATAGAGGCCTGCCTCTAATACTGGCCCTCCTTCCAATAAAGGCCTGGAGCTTGATGAGCTTTAGTCAAATACAGGCCCTGGCCTGTATTAGAGGATTTACGGTAGTCCAGCTGCGGGCTTCTGCCTGCCACTATGGCGCCGTTTCGATTTGAACTGTTGCATGCCGGGAGAAGTGACGTCAACTCCCGGAGCTCTATAGGCCGCTGATGTTCACTCTGGTTTTGGTGATTTGCTTCACCTCCAAAGACATTACTCTCTTACTTTTACTTTCAGGCTCCCCCATGATGCAAACAAACAAACAAAACTAAAATTCTTCTTCTTGTGCTCTTTATTGACGATTGGTGAACTGAAAAAGTGAACTGTTAGCCATTAAAGTAGCTACCGGTACAGCAAACAGCTATTTGCTGTCATAAAGCAGGTAGTGACCTCCCATTAGCAGTTTCTGGTCGGCATAGAGCTACAGAGTGATTTCCCATATGAAATAGATCAAGTTTCAGGCTCAAGAACCACTGAAACCAGTTAAAAAGCAATAACAATAGTGTTAAAATCTCTTTTGTGTTGCTATAATTGTGTGCAAATCACACCAGCACAGAGAGCTTCTGATTGGTTGGAAGTTCATGATAAACTCCAAACTTCTATTTTGAGAGGATTTTGTGACATCGAAATGGGAAAACTCCTAAATTGCACCTTGACCTGAGTGTTTAAGCCTCTCAGCCATAAAACTAAGGATTTTCTACATTGCTAAGATGATTTTATTTCGTTATTCAAGTCTCTGCTCTCCTTCCAGACGACTTCATGCTGCTGCTCTGCGCCTCTCTTCAGAGGCAGATCTTTGATGATGAAAACAAGGCAGCAGTCCGCCTCATGGCCGGAGACAATGTAGAGATCTGCAGAGACCTGGACGCAGCCTCCTTTAGCGTTCACAACCCTGTACCTGACTTCATCCACTGCAGGTGAGCTCGCCGCTTCACTCACACGGCACAGTGCTCTAATTGGAAGTTAAACTCTCCTTATCGAGACCATATGCTGGAGCTGTGATTTCCAACATTTACATGTTTTTTTTTTTTTTGGTACTGACCTAAAAGAGTAATTCTAAAGTAATTTTGGTGCCTTTGCCTGGCGTGACCACCATTAGTATAGGAGAAAACACACTGAAATGGAAAGGAAGTGAAGTAGACACAGTAATTGGTGCCTAATGATATCAGAGGCCGACAATAAAGTCAAACTGTAATGTGCTCCACACAACTGGAGCTATTAAAGCTATTCACTTTAAGAATTGTGGTGTCGGCATGTATTTAAAGCGGTATGAAACAGTTTTATTAGTCAGATATTAACTTTTGAAGTTTTGTAGGCAGCAGCAGCGCTTTTTACTCAGAAATTTTTTTAAACAGGCACCAAGATCCCTCCACCTTCACGGCGATGTTATTTTATGTCAAGTTAAAGACCAAGTTCCCTCATTCTTTCAAAGAACACAGAGGCCTTTAGCATAAATGAATGCCTTTTAAGGTGAGGGAAATACTTGCTTTTGAACCTTGCGTTGATGCAGGCTCGGTCCTTGTTCACGTACTTGCTGCTGCACGACACATAGTACTGGAGTGTTCCACTAGAGGGCACAGTAGAGTACTCAGACCGGACAGCATCCTGGGTTTGTTGAGTATAACCAAAACAAACATGGAGTCAATAGAAGAGATTTTGAGATCACGGCAGAAAAAAAGGCAGCAGTGGTATTGTAGACGGTATGAAAGACCTCTAAACCACAGACTGAGTCACCATGGTGAATGTGTCTCACTCGTTTTGTTAACTCCACCTACTGGTTACTCATATATTGCAGCTTTCGAACGTGCAGCGTTAATTTTGGGGGATTTGCACAAATTATGCTTCAAATCAATGCAAGTTACGCAAGGCGATTTTATACACGTGATCATGTTGTTAAAGCACGTCTATTAAAGGCCTAAGGCAGCAAGATTTAGATTCCTATTTCCTGATGTTTGGACATCTCACCTCTGATTGGCTATCACAACACTACCACTGGCTCAGTTTGCAGTTTTGATGTTTTACCTCCACAAATAACACGTTTTAATTTTCTTTTGATAAAATATGTTTTTCCTCTCTAGAGTTCATACAAAACTGTGTTTCACTAAATTTTTCTAACAAACTGAATCTGAAGTTGAGACTTTTTACAACAAATGAGTAAAAAATTCCAAAAGAAAAAGCTCATGTATAGTATCATGCACTTGTAGGTCTGGAAATTAATAGATATAATAATCATAATGACTTATTGATTTATGAGCTGATTACGTCTTTATCGTTTTAGATAAATGGACCTCAGTTGTTGTTCTAAGGCGATGTTGCTAAGGAAGGTTACGGAGAATAAGAAAGCAAAGCTGAAACCTCTGGTTTCAGATCCAGAGCTACATTTACAGATGAATACCAGTGAAAAATGAAAATTTCGTTTGAAAAACATGGCTGAGCAGCGAGCGGCTGAGGAAGACGGCGAGAGCATCCTGACCTGTCCACAGCCATTGATTATGTGCTCTTCACATTCCACTGTTTTGATGCACAAAGTGGACAAGTCTTTTATTAACGCACTCTGTGTCCATCAACAAGCTCTTGTAGAGCGAGAAAAGGCTGCACAGCCCGTCTGCCCGTTCCTCGGCAGCTCTGCACTTATTCCATCGTTTCCCTCCAGGATCGAGTTACGGATACGGGTTATGGGGGGGGGGGGGGGGGGGGTGAAATCCATAATCCACAAAAACACTCTGTCCGTCACTCTGAGACTCAGGCGCTTTCGCCCTGTACTCTAACTCAATAAATAGCTTTTAAGTATGGAAAAGGTATTTTCTCCTTGTGATCAAGAAGGACACTCACTCAGCTGTTCCGGCCCATCAGCTGCGTCGGTCCGATCCAATCCCACTTCATCAGACCTGCTTCCTAAACGCATCCGCTGTTGTTGTGGTCCTGTTCCCATCAGATTAATGAGGGCTTTAATGTGCTAGTACACAGTGAAACAGGATGCATTCACATGCTTTTAGCATGTTACAAACACACATACGTGTCTGAGTGACATCATCAGGTTTCACATCAGTGCGTTTAAGTGCAGCGTCAGAAAACATGTAGACACGTTATTCTGGCCGAAGTCGAACTGAGCTGGACTAGTTCTAATAAAGCCGAGGTACCCAGAAAATGCAGTCATAAACCGAATTTAGCCAAATTTAGAAGCAGCCTTCTGATAACATCACCGCCACAAAGTAACACGTGTGACACCATCAAACAGTACAGTATGTACCAATAAGCTGCACTGTTGTCCATTCCTTCAACAACTGTGCATATCCAGCTTTTACTCCATCTGTTTCACTCCTGCCAGTGTTTATTTACTATTTGCATTGCTAGAGGTCGATGTTCTGACTATCCGTGCTTCCTCTCGGTCCCCTCGTTGAATATTCCTACCGCACCGTGTTACGACAGTTTGTTTAGTTGTTGAAGTTATAGTTGTGTTTAGTTAACACGCTTATTAAGCATGGTTTATTTTAAATAAGTGATATTACTCAAAAATACAGAACTGTAGTATAAAAATTAGCAAAAAATAGTTTTTGTCATGATTTATTTATGAAAAATACCTTGTTTGTCATTGTCATGGATTTTACCAATATATTTATCAATAACCCATTTCCTATAGTGAAGAGAAAAGGAGACAATGAGCAGACAAGTCAAACAGTTATAACTGTGGCAAGATGCTGAAGCAAATGCCCCGAACATCTGTTCACAGACTTTAGTTATAGTGAGGAAGAATTGAAAGGAGGAGTGAGGTCACTGTGTGAGAGAGGAAGTCAGTGTGTGTATGAATACAAGAATATATGTGTGTGTGTGTGTGTGTGTGTGTGTGTGTGTGTGTGTGTGTGTGTGTGTGATTGTGTGTGATTGTGTGTGTGTGTGTGTGTGTGTGTGTGAGAGAGAGAGAGGATGCAGAGAGGCATAGAGCAGTACATATTACATCCAGTTGGTCGAGTCCATGATCAAGAATTAATAAACATAAATTTTTCCATAACAGTCATGATTTTGTGAATGACTGTAAACAATGGGAGAAATTTCTTGTTTACAGTACAATGACGATATTTTACAAGCTAACTGTCAGGTAAACATACAACAAGCAGCAATAAAACAACTTCCAGAGGTAGCACGTCTCTTCATCTAAACAGCCTGTGACGTAGTAATCGGCCTGCACATTTCTCCAAAGTAGCACATATCGACGAGTACCACGGATAGTCTGAACACCAGAGAGGCCAGTATCCAGCAAGTTTTAGTGGTTTCTCTGCTCCAACACACTGTCTCAGTGGTTGAATCATATGTGCATCAGCTAAGCAGACTCTGTAGAAGCCTGTTAAATACCTGCTGATTGAAATCAGGTGTGTTGAAACAAAGTCAAAGCTAAAAGGTGCTGGATGCTACAGGCCAGCTGGAAGAATACCAACATGAAAGGGCACATTTCGCCACCTAGTGTAGCGGAGTGGAAACTCACTATTCAATAATCCAGTTTTCTAAGAAACATGTAAAACAGGCTAAAGGCTCTCAATTTTACCTTGAACATTGCCTAGCTCAACTTAGATGTGCATGTAAATGTACTAAAGGTGAATTTCAATTCAAGTTTATTTATATAGCGCCAAATCACGACAAGAGTCGTCTCAAGGCACTTCACATGGTAAACATTCCAATATAGGTCAGGGGTCTCATTTATCAAACATTGCGCAGAATCCTTACTAAAACCGTACTTAAGCTCAGCAAAAAAAATTTACTTCCGCCAAGTAGGTTTGTGATCTATCAAACATGGAGTACGCACAGCTGCATGCAGTCTCCGCCTCATAATCAGAAACTATCTAGAAAGGTTCTCAGCTGCTTTTTAGTCACATCCCGCCCTCACCATGCCAACTTACTGCCATAAATAGTCAATGCAAAGGGCCTTGTGGATCTCATGCATATACATAAGCCGGCTGTTGCAGCGCTTCGCCAATGACGATGGCGACCATAGATCAAGGCAAATCAAGGAAGCGCAATTTCACAGAAGCAGAAATTGAGGTACTTGTAGGTGAGGAGGAGAAATGAAAAGAAGTGGTTTTGCAAAACAAATAAGAGAAAATCCACGTAGTGGCACAGCGTTGCTGAAGCCGTCAATGTTGTGAATTCTTCAGAGAGATCTGTGGCGGATATTAAAAAAGTGGTCCAATCGGGATTCGATCCCCAGACTCCCGGGTGAAAGCTACGCGCGCTAACCAGTCACCCAAATGAAGATCTCCGTCATCCAAGTAGCCAGGGCGCATGATCATTCGGGTCAGTGACAGGACACACACTGTCACAGACACATGACATTCTGTCTCAATCTGTCCCCCGGCTGATATTCTGCATTCCGTATTCTGCGCTTCAGGCTGTGTGTGTGTGTGTGTGTGTGTGTGTGTGTGTACGCACGCACGCGCGCGCATGTCTGTGAGTGTGTGCGCATGTGTGCATGTGCGCGCATGTGTGGAGGGGGGGGGGGTCTTCTGTGTGAAAATGAAGCGGTACAAGTGATAATGCTGCAGGATTTCATAATTTTATCCTTCTCAGGAGCAGCACTGCAGGTGCTCTCCATGCCCAACATGTGCGTAAGCAAGGTCCTTAGTCAGCTTAAAGTTGCACACATTTTTCCGCTTCTTTCATAAATCCCAAAGTTTGCATGGAAAGTTGCTTACGCAGTTTTCCGACCCCATTTTGTGCATAAGCAAGCTTGATAAATGAGGCCCCAGTTCATTAAGCCAATCAGAAAAAAATGTCCTATATAAGGAACCCAGCAAATTGCATCAAGTCACTGACTAGTGTCAGTGACTTTACACCAGGGATGAGCGAGTACACCAGTATCTGTATCTGTTCAACCATCTAAATTATCTGTATCTGTACTCGGAGTGGGCGTGGCTTAACCCAGAAA